AATTAAGCAATTTGTATAAGTAAGCTTCTTCATGAAAAAAATCAAGAACTGGCATATTTTGTCATTTGTTATTGAAAAGACAATGAAGATTCGGTGTATTTTTCCCCCATTTATTTGATTGTACGTGTTGGTTAGTAAAGAAATATGTGCTTGTTATACAAAGAGTCGAGGTTTGAGAAGACTCAGTGTATTGCTTGCCGATTCCAAAGAAATAACCCAGAGGACCGGCTGTGAAAGACAGGATTTGGGTGTGTACCACAACACAGGCTTTCTTAGTACAGGGTTATATAGAGTATAGCAAACAAAGCAAACAGGATAACAAATGATGCATGCAGGGTGGACATGCTGCAGGCAAGCTACATGAGATCAAAACATCAGGTATTTACAATGCAGTTTACATTCTTCAACAGTTTCTTTTCGGGCTGTTTACAGAGGAGTTGGTCAGGCTCCCACAGTACACTGACAGATGGCCTTCATTATATTCTCACGGGGGTGGGGGGGGTGGGGAGCTGGAGGTTGGAAAGGGGCTTATGTTCTCACATAGGACATGGTGCTTTTTATAAAAGTTGCAAGCAATACCAACTTTACAAAGTCAAGAGTGAGAGTTCCTCTTCAAATTTCCGCTTCACCATGCGGCATTAGTGTTACCTGGGAACTTATTATAAATGCTGATACTTTGGCCTCACCCAGTCCTACTAAATCAGAACTTCTGGGGTGGAATCCAGCAGTCTGTTTTAACAAGCCCTCCAGGTGATTCTCATACATACTAAAGTTTCAGAAGCCCTGATCCACACAGGCATACCTCATTTTATTGAGCTTCACTTTATTGCATTCCACAGATGGCGCATTTTCTTACAAATTGAAGGCAAGACCCTCCACCAGCATTGCCGTGGTCTGGAACTGAACCTGCGATATCTCCGAGGTATGCCTGTAGTGTAGTTTCCAAACTGGTGTGCTTCAATATATTGGTCTCTTCAGCCCTTGGGCAGCCTGCCTGGTGCCAGAGGAACCCTGAGCCCCAGGCTGGTTGCCCTCAGTACAGACAACCTCATCATTTTAACCCAGTGTTGCAATATTGGAGAGTTTGATTAATTAAATATGATTCTTGGACAAAGATATCACACCTTCTTCTTATTTTCAGTCTTCTCTATACACTGAACAGTCTTTTTATTTTGATGTATTTCTGTTGTTGAAAGTTTTGCAGACTGTCCCCTCTTTATCCCCTGTTGACCCTCTCTACTCTGCTCCTGTTCCTTGCCCAAGTCTTCCCTGCCCTACTGTTTGTGTTCATGGGTTATGCATATATGCATATAAGCTGGTGAATCTCTTCCCTCTGAGATTTGTGGATCTATTCCGTGCTTCCATATCACTAGATCTATTTTGTTCATTAGATTTCACATATAAGTGAGATCATGTGATATTTATCTTTCTCTGACTGGCTTATTTCGCTTGAGCATGCTGTCTCAAAGGATAAGAGATCTTTCTTTTTCACAGCTGCATAGTATTCTGTTGAGTAACTGTACCACAGCTTTTTTATCCATTCATCAACTGATGGACAGTTGGGCTGTTTTCAGATCTTAGCTATTGTAAATAGTTCTGCTATGAATATAGGGGTGCATATATTCTTTCTGATTGGTGTTTTTGGCTTTTTCAGATATATTCGTAGAAGTGGGATCTCTGAGTCAAATGTCAGTTCCATTTTTAATTTTTTGAGGAAACTCCATACTATTTGTTTTATTCACATGGTTTTTCTAATGCCTATAATGTATAACAAAGTAGTTACTCAATACTTATCTGTTTGAGGGACAATAAATGTTTCAAGATTTCAGAGAAAGGGAGATGGATGCTCTGGCTGGGGTAGCGAGGGGAAGGCTTTATGGCAGCACTTGAACTGAACCTTGCAGTTGAGATGAGTTTTGCTGGGAAGAGTTGAGAGGGGGAGTGTTTCTGGCAGAGGCACCACAGAAAACAAGGAAGCAAAAAAGACCATGCTGTCTCTGCAGAACTGTGAAAATATAGTAGGTGAGTCTTACGCGATTGACTCAGACATAACATGCATTACCTCCTCCAAGACCTTCTGTCATCAACAGATTCTTGGTCAGAAAGAAGAGTCTTGGTTTCTATCCTTCATTTCTGTTCAGCTGCCATTGTCATGACCCAAATCCTTGACTAGGACACACCTGGCCCTCTGCCATTTACATTGCTCAGGTGGCCTGTACTCTCCATTTCATTCTACTGAGCTAACAACTTGACCAGTCAGAGAACCCAGTGAAACCACACACTTTGCCCTTAGGACTAGCACAATTGTTGTTGTTGTTGTTGTTTTTAATTATCACCTGAGGACATTTTTGCATTTATCCTCAGATAGAGGGGGAAGAAGAGAAAAAGAGAGAAACATCGATGTGAGAGAGACACATCGATTGACTGCCACCCATACAACCCTAACCTGGGGCGGGGACAAATTGCAACTGGGGCACATGCCTTTAGCAGGAACTAAACCTGGGTCTCCAGCCCGCTGGCTGATACTCTAACCACTGAGCAAAACTGTCCAGGGCTCTAGCACATTTTTAATCCATCAACTCTTGAACATTTATTCCAAGGCTCTGAAACAAAATCACTACAGAGAAATCAAAAGCTACTATTGCCATCACTCAATCATATATTCCAAGGGCTCAGTGGGCTGGTGTTAACTCTAAGCTTCTCAATTCAACAGAATACAGAGTAGTCATGAGAGCAACAGGAAAGATCAGAAATGGGTCAAAACATAAGCCAGAACCCCAAACATCTGTGCTTGCCTCTTCCACCTCCCTAGAGCCCACTGAAATGACAGACTATATATGAAAACAAAGTTGAATTCATTTCAGCAGTAGGGGATCAGAAAAGATGACATCAGCTGGCCATAAGGTGAGAAATTCTATTCTGTGTAAAGGACATGTGTCAGCTTGATGGCAAAACCCAAGGAGACTGAAAAAACATATATCCTCATATAGGTGAAGGAGGAGATTACTGAAAAAGCATTTTCTCATCAGGCCCCTGGGTAACACAAAGATCAGAGTCAGTGGGTGTTGGGAGAAGAATCTTGGCTTGAGAGAACAAGCCACAACCTTGCCAGTCTTTATTTCAGGATCATCAGGTGCAGGGTTGGTCCCAGGATAAACCTACGAGCACAGTTCTTATCTAAATAGGATATCTGCTGTGGGAGTCTTCCAGACAGAGAATTGGGCAGTGGATGAAGTCTTGTCAAAGACAAGAAGACCCACCCCCCACTTCCCCCTAGAAATGACGCTCTTTGATAATCTCAGTGAAAGCCTGACCAGTCACACCCTTCCTTCCTCTTCACCTACCAGAGCCAGGGCCCCTGTAATCAGAATCTACATTTGCAATCACGGAACTAGGGATTTCCACTTAGGCTCTGAAGAAAGAAAAGCATCCATGAAGGCTGAGATATACTAGGTACTCTTCCCCTCCACCAGTCTACCTATTTACCCGCACCTCCTAAAATGGTATGTCTAAGTGAGGTCCTAGGACCACCTGCATAAAAATCACTTGGAATGCTTGTTTAAATTGTATGTACATCTGTGCTTCACTCCTTATCCCCAACCATCTCCTGCCAAATGATGGAGTAAAAGTAACCTTAGTATACTGTAGTCAAACCATCAAAGAAGAGCTATTTTAGTAGGAAGGATGGGAATATACTGTGAATTTGTGTTTAATCTCTTTGGCATTACAGTAATTTCCAGCTTTAATACTGTCTTGGGGCTTGTTAAATAGTGATTTATTATTATAAAGGATATTTGGTTATCAATCAATTTCCCCCCTATTGATAAGAGATCTTTCTTTTTTACAGCTGCATAATATTCCATGTGTACATGTACCACAGCTTTTTTATCCATTCATCTACTCATGGGCACTTGGATTGTTTCCAGATCTTAGCAATTGTAAATAGTGCTGCTATGAACATAGGGGTACATATATTCTTTCTGATCAGTGTTTCAGGTCTCTTAGGGTATATTCCTAGAAGTGGGATCACTGGGTCAAATGGCAGTTCAATTTTTAACTTTTTTAGGTAACACCATAGTGTTTTCCGCAGTGGCTGCACCAGTCTGCATTCCCACCAGCAGTGTACTAGAGTCCCCTTTTCTCCACACCCTCGCCAACACTAGTTTGATGATTTGTTGATGGCGGCCATTCTGACAGGTGTGAGGTGATACTTCATAGTTGTTTTAAGTTTTTCCCCCTATTGATTTCTTATGGTGAATCACCCAAAATGTAAGCATAGGTTTTAAACTTCCTTTTTTTCAAATAGAAAAGCTTTGTTGTTATTTAGAATTCAGTGCTTTCCTCTGAGTTTTATCAGACAGTTGATCAAGATTTACTAATTATAAATTAATAGGTATGGGTGTAAATTAATATTAATTAACTTCAATGTGAAATGTTTTTCTAATATCCTTCAACTTTAAAAAAGACATCTTCTAGGAAGTTACATCTATTAAGAAAAAACATCCCAAACAGAAATAAGGCAACAGGATGACAGCATACCTTTCAATTACATTGGAACATTGTCTAAAAGACCCACCCCAGGACTCCTTACATCTGTGGGGGAAATGAACTTTTGATTGATGTTCTATTTACTATTGATCAGGTCACAAACTTTGTGAGATTACATGTTGACTTGTAAATTTTTGTCCAGCTAGATGCAAATGGTTTTTGTCCAGTAGAAAAGATAATAGCAGAAGTTACAGTTATATTGCAGTGTTGGATATTACTCTCTAAGTTAACCAACATTTCAGAAACCCACCCCCACGAATTATATAAATCGCTATTCCTCAGATGATTTTACAGTCAGTTTTATGGATCCCTCATTAATAGGTAAGTACATCTTTGACACATATTCAATCTGTATTTGGATGAATCATGTTTTTACCTTCTTAAAAATGATGCTCTCTGATAATTGATTTTGAAAAAATCACAAATCCAAAGTTCAGCAATTTCTATGTTTCTTTTTCCTCTCAAAGATCAGGTAAAGTTAAATTGGATACTTTTTATTGTGCATAGCATTTATAACCAGAATAGAACAGTAATTGTTGCTTTTGAAAAAATAATTCAGGCCAAGAAGCTCCCAGAGGTAAGAGAGAGTGGAGATGGGTGGCTGGAACCTGCTATCCCTTCTCAACGAGCCATTGTTCTCAGTTTCTTGACTAGGTCCAGATTCGGGTTCTTGTCTAGGTCCAGATTCAGGTTCTTGTCTAGGTCCAGATTCAGTTTCTCCTCTAGGTCCAGATTCAGGTTCTCTATGCAATTCTGAACTCCCCCATCCAAGGGGTTGGCACAGACACGCTGCCCTCTCCTGCTGATGAAACTGGGGAACACGGGGGAGAAAGATTATACAGTGAGGACGGTTCTGCAAATAAAAATGGGGAGCCCTATCCTCCATGCCCCTCGATTCCCCATCCTCCCAGCTTTTTCCTTCCTATCTCTGCTGCAGGAGCTCAGGGTGTCTTCTCTCTGAGACCCTCCCTCAGTCTCTGAGACTCCCTTAGTGACTCAGGGGAGTTTTGTGGGGCAGACTGCTCCTGCTCTCTCCTTCCTTCCTTAGCCTCCTTCTTCACTGGGAACATCTCATATCTGATGCTCTGCAAGACCTTCATGAGGACATAAACCTCCCTTGACCTTGCAGGATCCAGAGGGTGGGACTTTCCTGGACATCCAACCACCACCAAGTCCCCCTTCCCAAGACATGGCTGGTATTCTTGGCACTTACATGACACCAGGCTGGGAGCATCCACCGGTCGTTTGAAAGTAATCTTCCATGAATACGCATCGGATTTTTCGTGAGGTGTAGGAGAAGCAGCACTCACTTGGCTGGTGAAGGCCTGTAGTAAGAGAAAGGGCCATTTAAGGACCGGACCCTTTCCCCACTTCCTCCAAAGTGCTGGGGAGGGTGAGAAGGCACAGGACTCAAAAGGGGTGCTTTCCTCCTCTGCAGCATTTGCTGGCATCTCCTTGCTTCACACTTCCCAGGGTTCAGCTGTGTGTCTGAGGGCACCCAGGCAGGGCCACAACAGGGCCAGGACCATTTCTCCCAGCAGTGGATCTCATGCTTGCAGGAGGCTTCAGAGAATACTCTCCCCCCAGGTGAGCCTTCTCCAGGACAGCCAGGTGGAAGAGAGGTCATCTATGGAGGAGGGACCCATAGCCCATTCTGATCTTCCCTAGATGGTCACCATCCTCAGGACCCTCCCCCTTTCCCCATGCCCTGTGAACAAGATGGATTGAAGCTGCTGAGCAGATCTGTTACCCACCTGCTACTTTTAAATATATGCCATAACTAAACATTTACCTTCATGTAAGTTTTCGAACCGAGGCACCACCATTCTGGATTCTTTTTGGGAGAAATAGACAAGAAGGGAAGAGAAGTCACTGGGAGGCAACATTATTGCAGTATTTCTCCCTATCCCATTCCTCAGCCTAACCCCCTGGTAAGGAGGCATTGGTGCTTGGATACTGGGCATCTGTCTGGGTTCTAGGCCTGTCTCCAGGCGCATTTTCTCCATTCGTGCCTTGAGATTTTTCATATTTGAGACATGAAAACATTCTATGGACGATACAAAGAGCAAACTGCAAATACAACATGAATAAATCAATTGAATAGCTACATCTTGTGATACAGTCCACAACACTTTCTGCATATTTCTGAAATCCACAGGGCTCTGGAAACAGAAAACCTTTTCATTAACTAATCTGATGACCCAATGTCACCCAAAGTGAAGTGAGGCTATTTACAGTCTTTAACCCGTTAGTGTAAGTATTTTTATGTGTTTACTACAGAACTATTACTGTTTGAATAAAGTATGCTTCCCAGACTCTGCCAGGAATGTTAAGTTATGTGTTACCTTTTTAAATTAATTGATTGATTGATTGATTAATTAATTAATTAAATTCTCACCAGAGGATCTTTTTCTATTTATCTTCAGATAGAGTGGGAGGAAGGGAGGGAGAGAAGGAGAGAGAGAAACAGCGATGTGAGAGAGACACATCAACCGGTTACCTCCCACATGACCCCGACCAGGGCTGGGGATGAACCACAACCAAGGTACATGCCCTTGACCGGAATCGATCTTGCAACTCATTGGTCCTCAGCCGATGCTCTAATCGCTGAGCCAAACTGGCCAGGGATGTGTTACACTTTAAAAAATATTTTTTATTTTTTGAATGTGTGGTAAAATACACATAGTATAAACTTCTCAATTTCAATCTTTTTTTTTTTTTTTTGGTCATGGAGCTCTGACCTTGTACCCTACACACAGTGATGTAGACCTGCTAAATATATTTTCATAAGGAGGAGTACAGTCAAAGCTATAAGAATAGTCAACATAAATTGCTATTAGGTTCACCCTGACTGGTTTTGCTCAATGATTAGAGCATCGGCCAGCAGCACAATGAGTCATGGGTTTGATTCTGGTTAAGGGCATGTACCTCAGTTGCAGTTTGTCCCCAGCCCTACTCGGGGTTGTGCAGGAGGCAACAGTCAATGTGTCTCTCTCACATCAATGTTTCTCTCTCTCCCTTCCTCCTTTCTTTCCACTCTATCTGTAAAATAATTGCCATTAGAGTCAAAGGAAGTACAGAAGATGTGTACTTTAAACCAAACTGGTCAAATTCTAACCATTTTGAAATGTACAGTTTAGTAGCACTAAGGACATTCATATACTGCACAACCATAACCACAGTCTATCCACACAACCCTTTTCATCTTGCAGAACTGAAACTGTACCCTTTAAACAAAATTTTATTCTTTAATTGGTTTTAGAGAGAGAGAAAGGGAGAGGGAGAGATAGAAACATTGATGAGAGCCCTGGACGGTTTGGCTCAGCAGTTGGAGTATTGGCCTGCGGACCAGAGAGTCCTGGGTTCGGTTCCCACTAAGGACACGTACCAAAAAAAAGAGAAAGAAACATCGATTGGAAAGAACATCAATTGGCCGCCTCCTGCATGCCCCCCACTGGGGATTTGGCCCACAACCTGGGCATGTGCCTTGACCAGGAATCAAACCAGCGACCTCTTGGTGCATGGGTCAGCGCTCAACCACTGAGCCACACTGGCCAGGCGAAACTTACCCTTTTAAAATTAACTCCCCATTTCCCTCCCCAACCCCAGGGCCACCACCATTCTACTTTCTGTCTCTGCATCTGACCAATTTAAGTGCCTCATATCAGTGGAATCAGATAGTATTTATGTTTTTGTTATTGACTTATCTATCATGGGGTATAGACCTTTCTTCAGTGTTCATCCATGTTGTAGCATGTGTCTGAATATCTGTCCTTGTTAAGGCTGAATAATATTCCATTGTATGTACATATTGCACTTTTTCAACCTATTCATTTGTCAATGCACACTTGGATTGCTTCCACCTTGTGGCTGTTTTGAATAATGCTGCTATTAGCATGGGTGTTCAGAAGTCCCTTCATGTACCTGCTTTCAGTTCTTTGGGTATATACTCAGAAGTGGAATTGCTATATCAGATTGTATTACCTTGTTAAAACCTGAAAGATTCTGTATTCCAAAATACATCTAGCCCCAACATTTTGGGTAAGGGTTTGTAGATCTGCATTATGCTAATGAGGAAACACAACTAAACTTTCAGCGCGTTTCTTATACAGTTACCTATGAATTATATTGATTGAGGCATGCTTGATATGATGTGTGTGGGGTGGGGGTTGCGAAATAAAGTCTTAAATGTTTTTCTATCACAACTTGCTGACGAGCTCATATCCTAACTCCACCACTTACTGGCTGTGTGATCTTGAGCAAGTTATCAAAGGCTTCCGTGCTCCAGTCTTCTCATTTGTAAAGTAAGAATAATAACAATACACAAAACTATATAAGTTGCTGATAATCTATTCCACAGGGCTTTTAGTAGAATTCAACGTATTAACATCTACAAGACCATTAGAACAGTGCCTGCTTGGACATAGGCAGTACTAGATATTTATTTGTGAAATAAATACAGAAAGAAATAGAATGATTAGGTGGACTTGGGTGTGTCATTGGCCCAGCTTATCCCATTTCCTCTTCAAAATGATAGTTTTACACTACATGGGATATAATAGTTCTAACATAGGCTTCTATGCTTCATTCTCCAAACTGACAATTTTAGTACAAGTCTTTTGATCTAGCACGTAATGGTCCTACATCAGTTAAGAGAAGGTATCAAATAATTCTGGCCATGAAAAGACAGAGAATTGTTTCCCCAAGTGGGACAAGTCACCTGTATATAGTTTTCCCCAGGGATCAAATGCTGCAGAGAAACATCTATACCCTACTGCTACTGCATTTAAACAAGTGCCAAATTCACCTCTATGACGCAGGAGAACAAAGGCGTCCCTCTGTGTCTCCTCCCCAACTACATGTTACCATCGCATTGGCCACCAGTGAGAAGGCTCACTGAACTCACCATGGTCCAGGGGCTCAAGGGACTGGAATCCATGGGTCAGGGTTCCAAGGGCAGCAGAAAGGATGAGGAAGGAGAGGGCAGCTGCAGGGATTCTCATCTTCCAGGTGTGCAGGTAGTGCTGGCCTGAGGACTCCTGGGCTCTTTGCTCCCTGACTCCCTGGGACCCCAGCTCTGTCCTTGTATTTATAAGAGGAGGAGGATCAGGAAGAACAGGGCAGAGGTCAGAATACTGGTTTTTGGCTACACAATCAACAACATGATATTTCAAAATAAAAGGGAACAAGTCTGGGAATGAAACAGGAAGTTGAGGGAACAATGACTTGGTGCTTTTCCAATTGTTCAATGAATACAGGCAAAAAAAGTGTCAGAATTGATGACAGAGACCTTAGCCAAGACAGGAATCTGAGACCCTCTGGGAGGAGCTCTCACATCCTTTGTGGGTCATGAAGGTCCTACAGGAGGAACTCTAAGTGCACAACAGAGCTCTATGGTGAAAACAGCCCCTCCCCTTAACTTCCTCTTCCCCTCTGAAAAATAACTACCTTCCTCTTCTTGCTCTGTCTTCATAAAGGTCCTGTATGCACACCAGATTGCATCTTTACTTTTTCCCAAATAAACCCTTTTTGTGGAGGGAATACCTAGTTGACTTTTTGTTTACAGTCGTCAAGAGGACTGTATTTTATTAAAGATCCTTTTTCTAGGAGATTTATTTATCCTTCTAAATCAGAGTTTTTCCCTCAGGAATTAACTAGTACTTTCAGATGCACAGAGAGCCTACTATGAGGGGTGACCACTGGAGGGAACGCATTAACGTGTAAACCTGGTCATGTGATTCCTCACATAGAATGTTGACCCTTGACTCCTCTTTTCTTCACACCCACAGCCAATCCATTAACAAATAATGTCGACTCTACTTTCAAAAATATGTCCAGCATCTTATTATTCACACCACCCCCACTCTCTCCACTCAAGCCATCCTTCTCTCTCACTGGGATTCTTGCAAAAGCTCTAACCTGTCTCCTTCTACTGCCCTTGCCCATCTTTAGTTCATTGTCCACATTGCAACCACAGTGAGTCTGTAAAAGAAGAAATCCGATCAATTCAATCCTATTTGAAACCCTACAATAGCTTTTTTTTTTTTTTTTTTCCCAAATATGTTTTTGATTGATTTTTTAAGAGCTGAAGGGAGTGAAAAATAGAAACATCAATGTGAGAAAGACATTGATTGGCTGCCTCCTGCACGCCCCCTACTGGGGATCGAGCTCTCAACCCAGGCATGTGCCCTGACCAGGAATCAAACAGGGGCCTCTCAGTCGGTGGCCTGACGCTCCATCCACTGAGCCATACTGGCCAGGCTCCAATAGCTTTTTAATTCCACTCAATGTAAAACCCAATCCTTATAATAAATTACAAGCCCTTATATGATCTCTTCCCCATTCACTCTCTGTTCCAAGCCCCCATGTGATATCGTCTCTGTTTGCTCTCTGTATTAAGCTCCTATGATTTCTGGTCCCTATTCACTCTCTGTTTTCATGTCCTACAACTGCCCCCCCCTCACTCATTCTGCTTGTTGTGCAGGCTGACTCAGATTTCTGTTCCCTCTGCTTGGATCACTCTTCCCTCAAATATATGCCTTGCTTCCCCCTCACCTCCTTTAGATCTTTACACAAATGTTATCTTTTCATTCAGTAAGTCTTTCTGGGACACTTTAAAATTATAATCTCCCCCTGCCAAATTTCTTTATTTTTCCCCTGTGCACTTAGCACTAATGTACTACATATTTTACTTATAAATCTTTGAATGTCTGTCTCTTCTTCTAGAACACATACTCCATGAGAGCAGGGGTTTTTGCATCCTTGTTCACTGTGGTTTCTCTAGTAACGGGCATAGGGTAGGGTCTTAGTCTAGGTTCCCCTGAAAGCAGAGCTGAGACAGTTGGGTGAGACCAGATAAGTTGGGAGGTATTCCCAGAAGAGGGGTGAGGGTCTGGACCAGTTGCGGGGATTAGTGCTTGATTCTGTTGGGATTTTTGAAGAGCCTTATGCATGTATCTCAGAATATTTTGCCTGGGGGGACAGGGGGAAACATTTATCTTTTGGTTTTCATCCCTGTGGCATTTTTAAAAATGTGGCCACCTTGACACTCCTGTCATGAAGCAGTGGGGCCTGCGTTCCTTCCTACTGAAATGGAGAGGGCTGGTGACTACTGTCCAATCACGTGACCGCTGAGGCCAGGCTGTGAAAAGCCAGGGAGCTTCAACCTTGGTCACTGCAACACTCACTCTTGGAGCCCTGAGCCACCATGTGAGAAGACTGAGTAGCTGGAGGCTCCCCTGCAGTGAGGAAGCCAAACCACATGCAGGTGTTCTGGTAGAGAGTCCCACATGAGCGCAGCCTTCAGGTCATCCCAGGCTCGGCGCCAGGCAGGGGGTGAGGAAGCCTCTAGAGCTGCACTGCTTGAATAACAGCTACTGGCCACACGTGGCTACTGAGCACTTTAAATGGGGCTAGTCTAACGCTGGAAACCAATGAGAAATAAAAGTGAGACGTAGAAGATATAAAGAAGAACCAAATGGAAATCATAGAACTGAAAAATACAATAACCAAACTAAAAAGCTCATGGGTGGGCTCACAAGCTGAATGGAGAGGACAGAGGAGATAGTGAGAAACAAAACAATAGACATTACCCAATGTGAATAGCAGAAAATAACCACCCCCCCCCAAAAAAAAATGACCAGATATATGATTTGTAAAATGTCCCTTTTCCACAAATTGCCTTGTCACTCTGTGGACTGTGTCTGTTTATGTACAAAAGTTTTACATGTGATGTAGTCTCATATGTTTATTTTTGGTTGTGATGTTTGTGCTTTTGGTGTCATGTCTATTTTTATTTCTTACAACTGCATGTGAATATGCAATTATTTAAAAATAAAAAGTGTACCTAAAGTAGAAAAAAATAAATGCAGCTAGTCTAAAAAAAAATAAGTTGGGATGCTCTGAAAGTGTAAACTATACCCTAGGTTTCAAAGATTTAGTACTTGCTCCCCTCCAAATGTTCACATATCTCCATTTTTTATATTGATTACATGCTGAAATGATAATATTTTGGATATATTATGGTGAAGAAAATATATTATTAAATAAATTTTTGCTGTTTCTTTTTACTTTCTAAATATGGCAATGAAGAAATTCAGACTTACATATGTGACTTGCAGTATATTTATATTGGACAGCATTTTTCTAGATGATTCCCCATCCGTTGGAGTCACTCCTTGCCATCCTTGTTTTCCCAGGTGAGACCCCAGGCTTCATAGAGCAGAGATGAGCCATCCCTGCTGTGTCCTGTGTGGATTTCTGACCCATAGAATTTGTGAGTGGATTAAAATAGTTGTTATTTTATACCATTAACCTTTGGATGGTTTGTTACACAGCAATAGATGATAGGAAAAACCCTTTCTTGGCCAGTTGTGGATTATAGATGTCATTTCCTCCCACTTCTGGTTTGCTCATGCATGTGTGTTGTGTTCTTGCATGTGTTCCGCATCACAGGGTCAGAGAAGCCCCAGGGCAGGAAGTTAGAGTTATGAAATACAGGCTGAAGCAAGACACCTGCATGAAACTTATGTAAATATAAGAAAAGTGAGGACTGAGCAATGGCTGAGGTAAGGGGTAGGGTCAAAAAGATATGAAATAGTACACAATACAGTCCACCCCCTTGCTTCCCTCCAATATGTTTGTGCCTTTATTATATCTAATCCATTACAAAGCCTCCTTCAGATGGTTTTATTAGTTCTTTCAAATTCAGTAGAACCCCATACTAGTGCACCTCCATTGCCCCCATCCTTGGAATCCAGCAGAGCCTAATAAATTTAATCCAGCAAAGCCCAATGTTGCAGAGAGGGAACCACAAATAGATCAAGGGGTATCATGGAGAGAGGGGACAATTCTACATCAATTTTTTGGTTCCTGTGTGTTCTAGCTACTGGGGACATAGAATCATCTATCGGTCTTTAGTTTAGTGCATACACTGCATTCTGGAGAGTTTCAACCCTGAAGTTTGTTGTCCTCTTAATTAAATTATTAATATTGCACTATTTTCTTGGTCTGGCTGTTTCTGGGTGACTAAGTACATGGTAATACCAATGGTTCCCAAATGCCCCCTGACTCACATCATTTTCCTGAGACAATATTGTGTAAACACCATGCTATCTGGTCAGGCATTATGTAAGTCCTTAGATGACTGGTCTGGCAAAAGTGCTGCTGGTAGAGAAAAAAACCCCTATATTTTGAGTAAGTGTCAATTCTGCTGAAGTTGGATTGTTCTCCCTTCCAGGGTCTAAGATACTCAACATGTCACTGTATGGATGCCTTTTCTCCTTGAGGGTAGGTGCCATATTGAGACTTGACATCTCTCTCTGCTGCTGGAAGGTTAGACATTCAGTAGTGGCAATAGTTAAGTTGGCCTTGATAAGAGAAAGCCCATGCTGTTGGGCCCATGTGTAGCCTCCATCCTTGTCACTGCAGCTTCTCTGTCCACAAGCTCATTGTACTTGGCACTGTTGTGGGTGAGGGGAGAGGCTGACTGACATCCACAGGACAAGTCATTCTATCCAAACCCTCATGGACTTTCTCCTTCACTGGGAATGCTCTCCATTGGCGTCCAAGTCACTTTAGTCATGAGTGCTTGTCCAGCACTCCCAGGTTGCACATGCCTGAGTATTGAGCAGGTTCCCGTAGGCATCCCTTATCTCAGCATCAGAGCATCTCTGATACAGGAAAAGAGGGGTATGCATGATGGCCAAGGTAAAGTGCTGTCAGATGATACCTATATGGAGCTGGACAAAGTCTGTGCAAAACTTGTGGTGGCCAGAGTAAGATATGGGGCTGACAGTAGAAGTGGTATACAGAGGTATATGACACAGCACTGAATACAAGTTTGTTCAGAGAAAGAAAAAACTGAAGGAACAAATGTCTGATTTCACAATATACTGCCCTTTCTTGTCTTTCCCAATGTAGAAAACAGAAGTGGTTTTTGTATACTTCCTGAGTCTTTCCCTAATCCCCACCCCACCACCAAGCATCACTGGTGACATTAAAGAATTGGATCAGTTCTATTTGTTACTTAGCTTGGCGTAAACAAGGGACTATGGAACTCCGCATGTGCTCTGCAAGCCTCAGAGGTCTTCCAGGCCAATAATAACAACAGCAGCCAATGCTTA